CCCCAAAAGGGGTCTCCTATCCCTTATTCCCCTCCAGGGAGAAAAATGTCTCTGAAGCAATTTCCCAATGAGACCCTCAGCCTTGGGATTTGGGGGCCCAAGAGGACCCACCTTGCCATCTAGATGCAAGGCCTCCCCTAGATGATCCCCTCCCCATAACTCCTCGCCCAGCCCCCCACGGACTCACCTTTCTTGTTCTTCAGGTAGAGGGAGAGCCCCACAGCCAGGAAGACCACCCCCAGCACGGCCCCCACGGCCCCCGTCCAGCGCTTGCTCTTGGCAGCGTTGGAGGAACGTGGCTCTGGGGAAGGAGAAGGAGCCTCGCGTGAGCAGCAGGATCAGGGCCAGCTTCCTCCGGGGGGGCCATTCTGGCTCCACACCCAGAGAGGGGCTTCCCAGCCCCCCATCCATGACCCCTTCTCCGTGCAGGATGGTGTCCCCAGACCAGGAGGGCAGGGGAGGGGAGGAAGGGAAAGGCTTACCCCACTGGACAGTGACAGGGGCCTCCAGGCTGGCGTGCCCCATCTTGCAAGCGTAGACGTCCCCACGCTGGGGCTGGGTCTCCAGCAGCACCTGGAGCTGGTAGGTCCAGTCCCCGTTCTGGAGCTCCTCCCCGAAGGCGACGCCCTCCTGCTCCGGCCGCCCGTTCTTCAGCCACTGGACGTCGATCTCCAGGGGGTAAAAGCCGGTCGCGGTGCAGAGGAGGATGGTGTTGGGGGAACCGGGGTCCGTCTTGGTGGGGGAGATGGTGACGGTGGGCTTGGCTGGAGGGGAGGGAGAAGGAGGATCGTGAGAGACCCAACAGGGCCCAGGACGGAAGAGCAGGTCGGTCAGTTCAGGCCAAGGTCCGTCTTAGCCTTGGAAAGTTTCTGGGTTTCAGGTCCCCTTTCCAAGAGTTTTATTTGCAGAGAAGGAGAAAAACTCCACTTTCCTCTTCTGCAGCCTTTCCTGTCCGCTGCTGAGTCAGTTAAATTTGACTCAGGACAAGATGAGAATTAAGTAGATTCGGACCAGGCTCAAAAAGGCCATCAGATGACTAAAAGGTCAGTGATACAAGATTCCACAAAATGAATAAAATCCCGCATGATCTGGACAACACAGAGAAATAAACAGAGAAGAGCAGAACAAGATTTAAGGGGGAAAAGTGTGGCTCCAACTGGCACAACTCCTGGACTGATTAAGGGAGGGCTGGATGGGCCCCCAAAGAGGGTCCTTCAGGGCTCCCTCCATCCGGGAAGGGGGTCTCGGGTGGCGTCCCGGGGTCTGTCCTGGGTCCTTGTGCCCTTCAGCGTTTGGATCAGGGAGTTGGGGGAGATCGATGAAGTTTCTAGCCTAGTGAGCAGATAAAGGCTTCTTAAAAGGTACAAATCAGGAACAGATTTCAATTAGCAGAAGTTCAAAATCTAAAATCTGGCAATTTTAGTGAAAACATCTTCAAAATGTATAGATTAATTTTAGTAGTTAAAGAAGGAGATCAAGAGAGGGCATAAATCATTTTTTATAGCCTCACCAAAGATAAACCTAATTATTTACAAAGCTGCCTTGCAAATATTTTTGGGGGAAAATTTGATCCGCCAGGAGTTGCTGGGCAGCGACTTTAATTCAGTTCTGGATCCACTGTTGGGTTGGAAGAAGATTTTTTTT